ATCCTGGAGAAATGAAAATATATGTCCAACAAAAACCTGGACACAAACCTTCATAACAGCTTTACTAACAATAGACAAAACCTGGAAATATCCTTCAGTGGGTCAATGGTTAAACAAACCATGGTGCAGTCACACAATGAATCCTACTTGGCAATAAAAAGGAATGGATTATTGATAGATCCAACAACTTGAATAGATCTCAAGGACATTATGTTGAGTGGAAAAAGAAAAAAAAGCCAATCTTAAAAGATTACGTACAGTATGATTCTATTCATATAACATTCTTGAAATGACTAAATTATGGAGCTGGGGAAAAGAATAATGGTTGCCAGGGATGAGGATTACAGGGTAGAGTCTGGTGAGTGGATGTGCATCTATAGAGAGGCAAGCAAGGGACTTTCTTTGTGGTGATGGAACTGTTCTGTATCTTGATTGTGGTGGTTATTACACGAATCTACTCATGTTGATAACATTGCATAGAATTATTATACACAAGGGAGGAATAGCAGAATAAATATGTCAGAAGACAAAACTGATGATTTGGAAAGCAACTTAAGCAATTCTACAACATATCTCAGATGAAAACATGACTTGGGAAATACTAAAACAAAACAAAGAGTTAATAATACATTCTACCAGACATAACATCTTTCTAATAGAAATTACAGAAAGAATGGTAGAGGAATATAAAGGGAAAGCAGTAAATAAGAAACAAAAATGCTAGAAGGAAACATTCCCATCGGAAAACATGAATATTTAGTTTGGAAGAGGCCATCAAGTGCAGAGCAGAAATAATTAAACAAAAAGTGACACACCTAGTCATGAACTCCAAGATAAGGAAAACATTTCCCAAGCCTCTAGAGAGAAATAGCATGCTGTCTACCAAGGAATAAGAATTAGACTGACATCCAATTTCCCATAGCAACACCATGACCCATCTGTCAATATGGCAAAGGCTACAGGTTTGGAGTGAAAGTTATGTTAAATCCAGGATTCCATTTCCAGCCCAACTATTATCACAGGTCACATTCTCTGAATGTAAAGCACTAAAGCATAAAATGAGCTAGAAGACACACCAAAAAAGGCAGCCTTCTGAACAATTCTTCAGACTAAGAGGAAAACAAAATGAAAATTAACAAAAAATGATACAGAAAACATCATTTTAAATTAAAACCTATGTAAGAAGTACAGAGATATAACCACAGCCTTCAAACTATTACACTGTGCAAATGTTGGATATAAATTAAGCATTCAACTTTGGAAAATAGAAAATTAACAAGATAAAAAGATAACTAAATAAAGAGAAAATCAGGAAATTATCAATTAGAAATTAAAATAATGTGTTCTCTTAAAAAAATTAATAATAACAAAGCTCAGGCAGAAATTACCAAGGAAAAATGTAGATAAATAGCTTTAGGAATCAGAAAAGCAAATATAATTACGAATAGAATAAAAAATAGAAAATGAATGAGGGCATAATATGTACACAAATAAATTTGAGATGAATGGGTTTTAAATGCAAATTTCCAACAATGACAAAAAATGAGGAATATTTGAAATAACTAGTAATTGTTAAAGAAATAAGAACTTGAACCCTGGTGGCACAGTGGTTAAGAGCTTGGCTGCTAACCAAAAGGTCAGCAGTTCGAATCCACCAGCTGCTCCTTGGAAACCCTATGGGGCAGTTCTACTCTGTCCAACAGGGTCACTATAAGTTGGAATGACTCGACAACAGTGGAGTTAATCAGAATTACGTCCCCAGAAAAAGCAGGTTTGGATTTTTCATAAGTAAATTCTAGCAAACCTTCAAGGAACAGATAATTCCTTCATTAATTATATTCTTCCCAATCAGGGAAAAAATATGAAAAATTCCTTTGTTAGCACTATAAGAGTTTCATAACCCTGAAATTAAAACTGGACAATGAACAGAGAAAGAACAAATTGTCATCATTTTTACTAGTGAATATAGACAAAATACTAAGAAAAATAATATATATTATCATACAACGTATTTATTCCATAATGCAATTAAATTTCAAAATTGAAAAAAAAAGTCAGTCAAAATAATTTATTACATTAATAGACACCAAAAGAGTCATTTGATTAAAGCTGAAGATCTGTTCTTTAATTTTAGGAGACAGTCATATCAGAAATTTCCAATGAACATCATGCTTAATATAAACAATACATTTAATATAAAACCTTTAAGAGAGTCTCACTAATTCAGGAAGAACATAGGTTGATTACTTATTAATGTTTATTGCTATTATATCTATTGTTACATTACATTATATTTATATATAAATAAGGTATAAATATAAATTAAGCGGGAAAATATAAGTTAAGTAAGAGCAACAACTCTTCTACTCCTGACAGCATTCAAGTAAGTACACAAAACTCTGTGTATACTTTTACTAAATCACTTATTGTAAATGATATTATATAATTATTTAACATATAAGGAGCCCAGGTGATGCAACGGTTAAGCACTTGGCTACTAACCGAACCTACCCAGCCCATCTGTGGGAGAAAGACCGGCCAAGGCCATCTGCTCCCACAAAGATCACAGCTTAGAAAACCCTATGGGGCAGTTCTATTCTGTAACAAATGGAGTTGCCATGAGTAGAAAAGTGATTCGACAGCATCAAAAACAACAATTTAATATATAATGTCAAAAATAACAGCAGTTAGCAACAACAATTGAATATATAAAATATGTGTATATTTATAGGAGCCCTGGTTGCACAGTGGTTAAGAGCCACGATGAGCTGTGGCTGCTAACCAAAAGGTCAACAGTTTGAATCTACCAGCCACTCCTTGGAAACCTGGGGGACAGTTCCACGCTGTCCTATACGGTCGCTATTCAACAGCAAAAGGTTTTTGTTTTATATGCATACATTATATTTAAGGTCTTAGCAGATGTGATATGACACTAGCATAGTCACCTGCAAATATAAGAGTTCAACATATTTCTTACGCTAGTAAAGGGTAAAGCTGTACTGATAAGATATGTCATGAAACTCACGTTTTGAATTTTACCGAGTTTAAGGCTAAAACATTTGTGTAAGTAGATCAAGAAAATCACTGAAATAATTTTCGGTAAATTGGATTCTGTGTTCAGGAAACATTGTTGAAAAAGAAATATTGTTTTAAAGGGTTTAAAAACCATGTTTGCCTTTTTCTGGATGGATGTAAATAGCTTCTGATAAAATAATTAAATCCTATATGTTCTATGGTTTATGAGAAAAATGGGATAAGCAAAAGTAGAGCTAAATGGTTAATAAGAAAGTGATCTGGGCTGTTCAGTACTGTCAGTTCATTGTTTAAATGCCCCCTTATTATATACTCCACCTGTATACCCAGGATATTCTATCTAGTTCTTTTGTTCTACAACCAATTCTCTGTCTTTCCAAACAGTAATGAAAATAAAGTATAAGAAAGTGATTAGTAGAGCATTTGGATAATAAAAGATGACCACTAACAGATGTAGAAACCAAGCCAAGTATTATAAGTTAATTCTTGTTCAAAGCAGCAATGACCTTGGAAACAAAGGTAAAAGCAATATTTGTTTTTTTGCCCTATTCATGTATAAATCCTTGTTGACTTGAGTATTTTGAGGTTTAATAAGGAGAGCCTCTGTAGAGATTTATATCAAAGATATATTACTGATGTCTCAGAGAATGTTCCTTACACATCTTAAAGAGTGCCTAAGTCTTCTCAGGATAACAAAGTGCCTATCCTAATCTTCTCCAAGAAAATGAAGTATCTAGAGGTGAGTTTGAAACCATTCTTTCTTGGAGGCCCAAGGCCAAAGTGTACAAGCCCTAGACTAATCTTCCAAAACCAAACCAAACCCACTGACGTCAAATCAATTCCGACTCATAGAGACCCTAGAGGACAGAGTTCAACTTCCCCATAGGGTTTCCAAGGCTGTAAATCTTGACAGAAGCAGACTGCCAGATCTTTCTTCCATGGAGCAGCTGCTGGGTTCCAACCACCCACTTTTTGATTAGCAGCTGAGTGCTTTAACCACTGCACCACTGGGGCTCCTATACTAACTCTTAGAGCCTATAATACTATCTCAAATGTCTGACTTGGCTTTTGGAGCAGCCAACAGGAGCTTCTTTTCAACTCTGATAAGAAACCCCTTCTGCCCTGTAAAACTGCACCAAAAACAGTAACAAAAATATTTAGGAGGAAAATGGATCTTTCTGTTTAGGTCATCATTGACAACTTGGATGCTTACTCAATGTTCTGGGAGAATAATTATTAATTGGCCTTAATTACAGTACAAAGAGTTAAAAATCTAAAAGCAAGATTTACTATGCTCTTCTACTGGAGCACAAACAGATACGAGGCTGGATGGCTGCTCTTTGAAGTAAGTGACAACAGCCTTAGGAAACTGCCAAAAATCTGTTTATGATGATCCTACAATCATTCCAGATGTGAGCAATGACCCTTTGCTGGGTAAAGATCTTTCCTTTTAAGAAGTTAGTAATTCTGAACATTGCAAATGCCAATATTCTGAGAGTGTCATTATTTTGGTTGAAAATATAATCCAATAATTGCTTTTCTTCTTCTCAAGAGAATTTCACCTCGAAGGTTGTCCACTGGACTTGCAGTCCTAGGAGAATACCATACTGTTGCATCTCCCTGGAGATCAAAGACCTACAAACAACAAATCAAAGTAACTCATGCTTACAAAAGGTTTAATCTTGTAGTGGAAGGGGATCTTATTAACCCTCACTCAAGGTAGAATCAGCTATATTTCTTCTTTATTTCCAGTGGTTACCATTTGATTTTTTTTTTTTTTTTGATGTTATAGTCTAATAACATCACACTCTCAACAAGTCCAACCAGATTCTGGACTGGTAAGTTTTGCCATAAAGCTGACTATGTGAATTTATCTCACATTACAAAATAGAAAATATAAATTAAGTAGGAGCAACAACTCTCCTACTCTACAGAGCATTCAACTAACTACACAAAATTCTGAGTATAGTTTTACTAAATAGTTCATTGTGAAATGGAATTACTTAGGAAGAATTACAAATTTATATTTTAACAAAAGTGCTGTTGACCAAAAAATATGTGCCTATTACTTAAGCCAACAAAACTGAAGATGGATTAACAGAGGTTTCTGCTTCCTATTGTGTGTGCAGTGGATGGAACACTAGGAAAAGGTCTCTTCTTCAATTTCTTCATATTTTATTACTTTCCCAATATACACCTACAACAGCTTCCAAAGCTCTTTCTAGAAAGAAAAACAAATATAGCAGGTACTCACTCATTTGAATCAAAGTACTCCAAGATTAAGTTGAAGACCTGCTTAATTTGGAGCATCGAGATCTCTGCACCTCCCTTTAAGACTATCAATCTTGACCCTAAGGTATACATTTCTTACCAGTTTATCTTTGAGGAGTGCTCTGTATTATGTGGGCAACAACACTCCAGTGCACACAAAAGGCCCAATATTAACCCTGAAATAACTTTCTTAAGACTTAATAAAACCTTGATGTTTTCAGTACCAAGTGTTCCAGAACTCTGTTATGTAGTCGCAGTTAATTGCATAGCTGCTGAGTTCCAGGTTCTTCCAGACACCAATAAAATCTTGGAGGATACACAAATATTGGTAGCTTTGCCCTATTGGGATATTTTCTTATTATTTTTAAAGATCACATTGTATTTATTCTTTGTTTTTGTGTAGCTAATGAAGGTCTTGAGTAAAATAGTCCTGATATGAAATATGTTATTCACCATGTTATTATTGACCACCTTATACTGTTTTACTTTGATAATCAACTTTATCTTCTACCACAACACTAGTAAACCTTCTAGTATTCATGGACTAACAGCTTCTTTACTTCCCGTGATTTTTCTTTTTCTTTGTTGCACATCCTGTTTCCTGAAGGAAATGGCCAGACAGAATGATTCCACAGTGACTGAGTTTGTCCTTGAGGGATTGACAGACAGACCAGAACTCCAGCTGCCTCTCTTCCTCTTGTTTCTAGGTATCTATGGTGTCACTGTAATGGGAAACTTGGGTATGATACTACTCATCACTTTCAATTCTAAGCTCCAATCACCCAAGTACTTCTTCCTCTGTAATTTGTCATTCCTAGATCTGTTTTACTCCTCAGTTGTTAGCACTAAACTCTTCGAAAACTTTGTATGGGAGAAAAATGTTATTTCCTCTCCTGGATGTATGACTCAGCTCTTTTTCTTTTGTGTTTTTGCTATTACTGAGTGCTATATGCCGACTGCCATGGCATATGATAAATACGTAGCTATCTGTAGTCCACTGCTCTACAGTGTCACCATGTCCCAAAAGATCTGCAATATGCTGGTGAGTGGAGTCTAGCTCATGGCGTCTTTTGGAGCTGTGGTAGACACTATTTTCATGACTAGGCTTTCCTTCTGTGAGGACAAAATTATCTGTCATTACTTCTGTGACACACTTCCTCTCCTAAAGCTCTCATGCTCCAGTTCCTACATCAATGAGATTTTGGTGATAATTGGAGGTGGATTCAATACGTTAGTAACAACTGTGGCCATCATAGTCTCTTATGCCTTTATACTCTCCCACATTCTTCAAATACCCTCAGCTGAGAGCAGGTCCAAAGCATTTAGTACCTGTGGCTCTCATCTTACAGTTGTTGGAGTTTTACATGGCTCCATGATATTCATGTATTTAAAGCCAGCATCCAGCAGTAACATGGCCCAGGAGAAGGTGGCCTCTGTGTTCTAGACCACAGTGATCCCTGTGCTGAATCCTCTGATCTATAGCTTGAGGAATAAGGATGTAAAGAATGTGCTCAGCAAAGTCATGCATATGAGGTATGGATCACCCCAGGGTAGTAGTCAGAACCACTAAATTTCAGGACAATAGTCTGCTTCTTTCTTTTTCTTAACACTAACTTATCTTTCTGTTTCTTAAAATGTACATCCCATTCTCATTCCTTTCACTACATCTATCAGCTATGACCCTTCTATTGAAATCTGTGCACACATGGACACAAATCTATTCCTTGAACATAATATACCATTGATATTAAGATTCAGTAGGTCCTTAATGTGGCTCAGGCATATGTATTTTAAATAATTCTTCCCAGGGTCTTCTCCTTCCCTATTGAGAAAATCTGGGGTAGAATATTATTTTCCTTTAGTTAGTGTAAATTGGTGTCATGGACTTCTGTCATTCACAACCAGGTAGATGACACTCAGGGTAAGTTGTATCAGACTAGGCTGTGACAGGAAATAATAATCTTAATCCTTGATCATGGACTAAATCCATAACATAATTTTATGCTTGGCTAATTTGAAACCACCATT